CCCCAAAACCCCAAAACCCCATAAGATATATAAATATTATATTTTGAGAAGGATATATATTACAATAATTATTCTAATTTAAATATAATAATTAATATTTCTTTAGCAAAATGCTTAGCAAACTTAGCGTAATTACTGCCCTTGTAACAATTGGGTTAATCTCCTACAGCGTAAATAGCATCAATTTTGATTAAATCGAAACTAAACTTAGAAATTTCAGACAGACCATTGAAAATAGCAAGACCTTTCAAAATATTTAAAATGACCCCAATCTCAACCCAATCAAGGTTTTAGATGATGTACAGAGAAAGAAATACACCTTGAATATGGATCCAAATATCCCTGAGATCTATAGTCTTAGTTCATGGATTAGTGATTTGAAAACAAATCCTAAACTTGGTTCTTTGAAAATTAATTAACTAGCTCTTCCAGGTGCTCATCATGCTGGTCTTACTAATGTTATTACAAATGAAACAGTCATCTCAAGCATGTTCGATAAGATTGGGCTTCAAGCAACTTACAAGGAGAAAGAAAGTGACAAGTAATTCATTTAAAGCACTGTGAATTCTCTTTTTGTTCCACATAGACATGATATAGATGATATGCTATTCCTGGGAGCTAGGTATCTAGACTTAAAAGTTGCCACTGATTAAACTAAACCCTCTCAAGTCTATCTTGCTCATTGTCTCTTATCAAATATCACACTCTAATCTGCACTTATATCAATTAACAAGTTTATTAAGAAAAATCCAGGTGAAATAATCATCATTGACGTTTCTTAAGCATATTATCCTCTTGGAAACTCAGGCGGATAAGTCTCATCCTATCTCTTAGATTCAATTATCAGAGAAAACATAGATCCTCAGTATATTTTAACTAGATAGAGTGTAAGCAAGCCCATTTCAAGTTATGGTGGTGTTTATATTACTGGATATACCTCTTAGATATTTTCAACAATTGTCTTGAAATCAAGCTGGCAATTAACAAAGGGTGACAATTCTATGCAGGTTGTTACTAACCTAAAAAATTACTATGAAAGTGGTGCTTATGTTAAACAGCAACCCTTAGATTACGATTTTCTCAAGAGCAATACCTATTTAACTCCTTCTGAGACTACTTTATAACAAACAGTTATATAAGAAGCAGATTCGGAGGGAAGACAATTTCCTCTAGATCCACTTGTTAGCGCTGAGTATATCCCTGCTGATAACATTCAAAGCTCTCGATTAACTAACCCACTCTTCTTCAATACTCTCAATAGATCACCTAAGATGTATCAAGCATTGAGTATTATAGAAATGGCTGATTTTAACTCTGGGGATTCTATCAGAGTAATTTAGTTGAATATCAACAGACACTTCTGAAAGGCAAAGAAAAATTCGGTAGCCTTAAATATCAGATAACAAACCTATAACTCATTAATTTCTTTAATTCATTAAAATTTTAAAACTAATCAAGGCTGGGGTTTTGGGGTTTTGGGGTTTTGGGG